CCCGCCCACTGGTCACCAAGCCACGCCCACACGCCAGTGTGACCCCGCCTTCTCCGGTGCGGCCGCCGCTCCGCCACGCCCATTAACCAGTCCCTGACTGGATGTGCACGGGAGCCTCGCTGACTTTCCCTCCAGGTCCTTCGAGGCCGCCACTCCCTTCCCCTCCTCGACCACTGACCTCAGCTCTCCTTCAGTTCTGCATCCGAAAGAGTTGCTTCGAGAAAAGGCTTCCCGCCCCACATCCTCAAATCCTCCAGCTAACCCCACGGTTTTCCCAGCCCAACGGGGGCGGGCAGAAGCGGTGACGAGGCACTTTTTGCCACGAATGGGAGGGGAAATGAACAGACCCCTGCGTCCTAGTGCGGATCCGTTTTGCAAAGGCAGTGGGGGCGCCGGCTGGGACTAGGGCGCGGTTCTGGCCGCCGCTGCGACCTCCGCTCCCTCCGGATCCTGTGGGTTTGGCAAAGCAGCTGGCAGGGGCATAAAGGCCCATTAGCAAAGGCGAGGTTGGGGCGTCGGGGTGGTTGTGTGGGGGAAAGGCCTTCTCAGCTGCCACAGTCTTGTGAGCAGGTGGTCATCACGTGCGGGAGGGGTTGGGGGTGGGAGAGAAAGGGGAGAAGGAGGATTCTAGCAACAGATGGCCCGTGCAGAACTGAGGCTTTCAGACAAGAGGGTGGGAGGGGGCTGGCCATCTGCACCTGGAGGCCGTTCTCGTCCTAGCCTCCTTCCCCTCCACCCCAGCACAGAGAAAAGAGCTGGAGAAGGGGAGGTTCGCTTTTATTCAGACTGAAGGTTCAAACACCCCCAACCCCTCCCCAACACAGAGGATGGGCAGGGAGAAGGCAGCTGGTGAAGGGGTGAGGGAGGCTGCCTCCACCAACCACCACCCCTCCCCTCTCATTGGCCAGATCTGTGGGAGACCTGAGGCACGGGCGGAGGGCTCCCCTCTAAATGATTCTGCATCTCCACTTTGGCATGCAGAGAGCCTGAAGTTCTCTCAAATGTTGGCAGAAAGAAATCAATCCCTGGAGTAGAGTTCCCGGATGCCCACTGTGGGGTGGGGAGAGCAGGATATGGGAGTGTGAAATGGGGAGTTCCCTAGCCCCAGGGTTCCCCAGTCCCCGGGGAAGGGTGCTAGACAAGACTGGGAAGCCTGGGTGGGGTCCCCAGACTAGAGCAGAGTGGGAAGGAGGCATCTCAGGGAGGATGGCCCTCTACTGGCCGGATTCCCCAGAGGGACGCTGTCTGAGTGGTCTGACCAGACCTCCCCTCTGGTCAGGAGGCTTCAGGCAGTGGCTGAGACTGGCGACTGGCCCAGTAGCGCTGGTAGGTGTCCTGGAAGAGGTCCTGGCAGTTGATATGGGCACGTAGACGGGCACAGGCCAGGAAAGCCCCTGCCAGCTTACGGTGCAGGGCATAGGTCTCCTCAGGCGGTGGGCGGAGCCGGTGCTGCAGCAGCACAGGGATAAGGCCCTGCACACGGCGGGCAGTGTCCCCTGCCCCAAAGTCATATGGGCCCTGGGTGGCAAAGGGCTCTCCCAGGATCATCACAGCCTCCACATGGGCATCGGAGAATGCCTAGGGGTGGGGGAGAACAGAGGCAGAGCCCTTCTCTTAACCAAGAACCAACAAGCAGCACTCAGCTCCGCAGTTTGGAGTGTAAACTCAAGCACCAGACTCCTTCCAGAGCCCCCAGAAAATAAGCAGCCCCTTACTCCTCCCCCCAAAAAGGGCCCATCACTCCCTCAGAGCCTCCAATAGACAAGCAGACTTCACTCTATAGTACAGAGAAGCAGCCTCCATTCCCCCACTCCCTTCCTCTAGAATAGGTAAGTGGTGCCCATTTTCCCAGGATTACTGACAGGCCAAGTAGTCCCCATTCTCCCCTAGTCCTCCCCAGAGTCCCCTAGTATAGATCAGCAGTTCCCCCATTCCCCCAGAGAGTTAAGCAGTCCCCATGCCCCCCAACAGACACCAGCCCCTACTCCTCTAGTGTCTCCCAACCTTGGTTTCAAAGCCTGTGAGGAGCTTGAGGTCCTGGGATTTCCGTAGGACCCGGTCTCTGTCTCCATTGGCTGCAGCCATCACTACCTAGGGAGAGAGGTGTGGAACACAGGGTCAAAGGCCAAGCAGGGTTCAAGGAGGGGTCTGGGGGAACTAGAGACAGGAGGTGGTAGCCAGGCCCTTCCTGTACCCACTTCCCTTCTCATCTGCCTAGGCTTCTTCCGCCTCACCTTGCCCAGCTGTGTCTCAAAACTGTTCCAGAGCCTGGGGGGTCGGGATGGCCAGGGGTTCTGCCCACCTGGCTGGGAACACAGAGGCTGCTGGAAACTAAACAGTGAAGCAGCACAGAGGAGAACAAATGTCAAGTGCTGCTCCTGGGTCCAAACATTCATGTGGCCAAGGATGTGATCATGACCCAAAATGGCATTGGAGGTTGCCACTGGGCCATCTCTGATCACCTGATTGATGTCTGTCTCCTGCACTGGACTTGGAGCCCTGAGAGAGCAGGGATCCCAGATGGGTTCAGTCCCATGTAGTACAAGCTCTGGCTCCCAGGAGGCCTTTGGTGAACCTTTGTTTAGCACATTGGTGTATGGAGCTAAGCACCCCTCCAGCCATGAGTGCACGTGGCAGTGGGACTTGAGGGCATGTGGGCAGACAGCGGCGAAAGCCAGCCTGCCTGGGCTCAGTCCCAGCTCTGCCACTGCTGGCTGACTCTGGGCAAGGTGCTTTGCCTCAGACCTCCACTTTCTTATCTGTGAAGTGGGGATGATGAAAATAGTTTCCTCATGAGGTTGTTGTGAGGATAAAGGAGGCAATAGCTGTGCAGTGCTGAGCACTATGCCAACATGTAGGAAGCACCATAAATATTATAAACTACTATTATGATTAAGAGGTGGACATGAGGATCCCAACTTCATAGAAGAGAAAACAGGCTCACAGTGGGCAACAGAAAGTGAGGAATGGAACCTGGGCATTCCCTTACCCAGTGAGCTGTCCTTTCTTGGGAAGAAAGGGATACAGGGTTAAATCTGGCAGCTCCATTCTGTCTTGGCTTCCTTGCCCAAGCCTGTCTGGCCATCTGTCAGACCTATGGTCCTTGGGGGCCGGTGTGACAGGGCCTTTTAAAACTGGAACATTCATGTGGCCAAGGATGTGACCATGACCCAAAATGGCATTGGAGGTTGCCACTGGGCCATCTCTGATCACCTGATTGATGTCTGTCTCCTGCACTGGACTTGGAGCCCTGAGAGAGCAGGGATCCCAGATGGGTTCAGTCCCATGTAGTACGAGCTCTGGCTCCCAGGAGGCCTTTGGTGAACCTTTGTTTAGCACATTGGTGTATGGAGCTAAGCACCCCTCCAGCCATGAGTGCACGTGGCAGTGGGACTTGAGGGCATGTGGGCAGACAGCGGCGAAAGCCAGCCTGCCTGGGCTCAGTCCCAGCTCTGCCACTGCTGGCTGACTCTGGGCAAGGTGCTTTGCCTCAGACCTCCACTTTCTTATCTGTGAAGTGGGGATGATGAAAATAGTTTCCTCATGAGGTTGTTGTGAGGATAAAGGAGGCAATAGCTGTGCAGTGCTGAGCACTATGCCAACATGTAGGAAGCACCATAAATATTATAAACTACTATTATGATTAAGAGGTGGACATGAGGATCCCAACTTCATAGAAGAGAAAACAGGCTCACAGTGGGCAACAGAAAGTGAGGAATGGAACCTGGGCATTCCCTTACCCAGTGAGCTGTCCTTTCTTGGGAAGAAAGGGATACAGGGTTAAATCTGGCAGCTCCATTCTGTCTTGGCTTCCTTGCCCAAGCCTGTCTGGCCATCTGTCAGACCTATGGTCCTTGGGGGCTGGTGTGACAGGGCCTTTTAAAACTGGAAACGGCTGGGGAGGTGGCAAGAAGGCCGTACTAAAAAATTCGGGGGCGGGGGACTGAGATATCCCAACTACCAGAGAGGCCGCTCCGTGGTGCCTCAAGTGGCCTGCAGAGAGGGCCCAGCCCAAAGGGCCTGTATATGTGGTAGCCAGGGGTGGGTTACCAGCTGCTCCTTCCTGTTCCCATCTCAAGGGTGTCCCCACCATGCCCAGTACCCAAGCCAGACACTATTCTTCCCCTCCCCACAGCCTCCCTGAGCTCCCAGTGTCCAGTCTTAAAGACCCCTCGTGACCTGACCACTGTGTCTCAGCTGGTTGGAGCATTGTCCCCTACACCAAAAGGTGGCAGGTTCCATTCCTGGTCAGGGCACACACTCAGGTTGCAGGTTCCATCCCGGGTCCGGGCATGTACAGGAGGTAACTGATCAATCTCTCTCTCTCTCTCTCTCTCTCTCTCTCTCTCTCTCAGGCTCTTCCTTTCTCTAAAATCAATTGTAAAAAAAATAAAGACCACTCATTATTCAGAAGGGGTTTCCTAATTCTGACTGCACCCCTCTCCTGCTCAAGTCCCTCCCACGGCTCCCCAGGGCACCCATATAAAGTAAACGCTATAGCCCAGGTGGTGTGGCTCAATAATTGAGCATCAACCTATGAACCAGGAGGTCATGGTTTGCGTCCCGGTCAGGGCACATGCCCAGGTTGTGGGCTCGATCCCCAGTGTGGGACTTGCAGGAGGCAGCCAATCAATGATTCTCTCTCATCATTGATGTTTCTCTCTCTCCCTCTCCCTTCCTCTCCGAAATCAATAAAAATATATTAAATAAATAAATAAAGTACAAGCTACAAAGCATGGCTTCTGAGACCCAGAATGATTTGGCTCCAATCTCATCCCTGGCTCCTGCTCTGCCCCTTACCTACCCGCCAAGGCAGAACATGAACTTCCTCTTTATCCCTAGGACCTTACTTCTCAGAGTGTGGTTCTTGTATGAGAAGCTTTGGCATCACCAAGGAGTGTGTTAGAAATGCAGCATCTTATGTCTAACTCCAGGCCAGAATCTGCATTTTCACAAGGTCATGGAGCGGGGGTTTCACACACACTCTAAAGTTTGAGAAGCGCTGCTTTAATGGGAATATCTCTTCTTGCCTCTTCCTGATTGGTCTCCTCATCCCTCAGGTCTCAATTCTGCTGTCTCCTCCTTTAGGAAGCCCTCCCTGATTCCACAGGCTGGGCCAGGCTCCTCTGAGCTCCCACAATGCCCTGTGCTTCCCCCTCCCAACCGTGATCACTCTGGGTCCTCACTGTCTGTTCCCCCACTGGACTGTAAACTCGTTGAAAGTGGGGTCCTGAATTGGTCACTATTGTCCCCAATATTACCCAGAATAGGGCTGGGCACAGACATGGTATCAAAGAATGTTTAAATTGATGACTAAATGATTAGAAAACCCAGGTTGAATGTCTCATGTCACCAATTAATGAGATAGTGTTCTCTGTGGCCTCTAAGACAAATTACCCAGTTAACTGCCACACGTCCAAAATGGAAACCATTCCCACACGCCACAATATTTTTAATTTAATTGCATCTATAGACGCTTATGGTGTACAAAGGGTTAACCCCAGTTGGTGGGAGGGACAGGCAACAGGTGAGGAAGCACTTCCTGAGGACAGAGCAGCTCCCCAGGGAGCAGCCCCCCAGGAAGTTATGTGAGGGCAAGGCTGGACACCAAGATCCTGGACAGTGTGGGGTGTGGGATGGTGACAGGATGAGCATCATGGGCCTTTCTCTTAGGAGAAGGCTAGTCAGTGTGGGGAGCACGAGCTGTGGACCCAGACATCCCGAGTGAGGACTGCTGTGACCTTGGGCAAGTGACTTAACCTCTCTGAGTCCCAGTTACTTCATGGATAAAACAAAGCTAAGAATGTCCTTACCCCATGCAGTTGCTGTATGGTTTAAATCAATTCCCAAATGTATAACACTTAAAACCACACCTGACATAATATTAAGTGCTTAGTATTTGTTAACTGCTATTAGTATTACTATTATTTCTTTTTTTAAAAATTTATTTATTGGTTTCAGAGAGGAAGGGAGAGGGAGAGAGATAGAAACATCAATGATGAGATAGAATCATTAATGGGCTGCCTGCTGCATGCCCCCTACTGGGGATTGAGCCCGTAACCTGGGCATGTGCCCTCCAGGTTCATGAGTCAACTCTCAACCATTGAGCCACACTGGCCAAGCTATTTCTTATTTCTTAATTCGAGATACTATATTTCTCCTTCTCACCCTTGCCTCAGTAAATGGCCCTTCAGACCCCAGGGTTGGGGGCACTCACCTCAATGTAATTGTCTGTGAATTCAGTCCCAAATCCCCGGCTTGCACCAAAGTCCAGCAGGGTCACCTGGGAACAATGATGGTGAAAGGGATGCTGGGAGTCCAGCAATGCTCCCCATTGTCTATTTGGGGTGGCCAGGGTCATCCTTCCTCCCTATACCCTGTCTCCTCCTGCCAGAGTCCCCGCCCACTGTGTCCCTGGGCTCCTAATCTCCTGTCTCCACAATTCCAATCCACCCCCACACGAAGCTGAAGGGACTTGGCTTTTTTTTTGCTCCTAATGGTTTTTATAACAACATGTTTTAGGCACAGAAAGAAAATACAGGGAATAAAATATATAGAAGAGTGAACACAAATCTCACCATGCTTAAAATATAAAATAATACCAATCCAGGTGGGGCCTCCCATATACCCTGGACTGATCCTACCAGCACAATGTCCCCACCCTCTTTTCTAGGGTCACCGCTTTCCTGAAATTATTATTAAATTATTATTTCCTGAAATTACCATGTGTGTATTTCTACATTTTCTCCTACATGTTTGCACCCATAAACGATAGTCATGTTTTGTGTATTTAAACTTCACATAAATAGTATTTATGATAGTGATCCTGCAACTTGTTCCTTGTGCCCAACATGATTTTTCAATTTATCCCCACTGCTATGTGCAGCTCTAACTCATTCATTCATTTCTCACTGCTGTGAAAGGACTTCATTGTGTAGATATATCAGAGCATTTATCTAGTTGATGGACAATGTGGGTGTTTCTGGGGTTTGCTATTAAAAACAGTGCTCGATGAATACATGTGTAGGAGTTTCTCTAGGCAGTAGAGTTGGGATTATTGATTACAACCCATAGTAAGAAATGCAGAATATACTGTGTACCAGTGCCAATGCCACATAAATAAACACCAAACAAAAGTGTCCTAAAATATAACTCCCTCCCATGTGGCACAGTGGTATTTTCTATTCTATGTCTTTAAAACAAGCAAACAAACAAAATGCAGTTAGACCCAATAAATTGACATCAGGAAGCAGGACATGTATTACCTATCAGGTCAGAAAACCCCTCCTTGGGGTACCAGCCTAGGAGGGGTGCAGAGTGTACTTGGGGGTAAGGCAGTAGAAGGGACTGACGCTGGAGACTCAGGGGGGCCCCTTCACATTTGGCAAAGGACTTAGACTTAATCCTGAGGGCGCTGGGGCACTCTGGGAGGCACAGTGTGGCCAGATTTGTGTTTGGGAAAGATCCCTCTTGGGGCAAAATGGGGACAGGCCACGTTGGAAAGCCACCTGGCCACCATGCATGCTGAGAGCCTTTCCATCCAAACTCTCATCCCCAGGCCTTGGGACACACTGTGCTCTGCCAGGAGCGCTTTTCCTTGCCCTTTAGATGACTGTCCTCTTTGAATCTTTCTGGTTTCAGCTTTAATGACACTTTCTTCAAGAAGACTTCCTTGCCCAGCTTGTGTGGCCAGTAGCTGAGCGCTGACCTATGAACCAAGAGTTCATGGTTCGATTCCCAGTCAGGGTACACACCTGGGTTGCGGGCTCAATACAGGAGGCAGCGGATCAGTGATTCTCTCTCATCATTGATGTTTCTCTCTCTCCCTCTCCCTTCCTCTCTAAAATCAATAAAAATAATTTTAAAATTAAAAAAATATATATATATATATTTTTTAAAAAGATTTCCTTGACCCTACATACCCAGACAGGTCAGCCACTTTCCCTGGCTTCCCACAACCCCCTGTGCATCCCCCACCACTGACAACTCTGGCCTGTGTTTCTCCATCTGGTACTAACTACTCTAGGTGACCGCTGGTGACAGGTCCCGCCACTGGGCCAGGAACTCTGAGAAGGTGAGGATCAGGATTGTCTTGGCATTGTTGTCAAGAGGCAGCGGCTGCTTGGTGTGTTCCAAAGAGTGACAAGTGTGGTAATGATGACTAACTGCCTTCTGTAAGTTGTGTTCCCTCTTCTATACTGTCACATTGCCACTAGGAAGCCACTGCCTAGCCAGTGACTGCTTTTTCCCAGCATCCTTTGCACCTAGACAGGTTGTGTGAACAGCTACCAACAGAATGGTAAAAGGAATGATGCGTCACTTCTGCTCAAAACAGTTAGCAGGGGATTCTACTCTCCATCTCTTTCCCTTCCTGGGATGGCACAATCACAAAAGGGAAGGCACCTGGTCTCCAAATCACCACCTGGAGGAGAACTACCCCAGCCTGTCACGTGGGTAATAAACTAGTATTGTGATAAGCTACTGAAATATTGGAAAATATCTGTCACAGCAGTTAATGTATCCTGTCACACATCACAAGAAACCAACCTGGTGGCTGGAGGCATCATACAGGAAGTTGGCCCAGTTGGGGTCCGTTTGCATGAATCGGAACTCAAACAGCTCCCGTAGACACAGCCTCAGGAGCTGGAAGCAGATCTGGGGTGGGGAGAGGGAGTAACAGACACCTCGGAGTCGTCTGCCCCTGTCAAGCCCTCTATGGCCTGGAGAGGGACGATGGGTCTGGCCAGCCCTGCTGGCCCTGCCTTGTGGCAGCACCCTCCCTGCTGTCCTACGAGACCATGTACCTGGTTTCGGATGTCCTGGCTCAGGCTCTGGCACTGGTCCAGGGGGACCCCTCCAGCCAGCTCCATGCCCAGCACCCGTGTAGTGCAGAGATCCTCGATCACTGCCGGCACCCGGAAGAACGGGTCATCTGCCAACAGCTGCCTGGGGCAGAAGGGAGGGGTGGGGATGGGACTTGGCTTCAGGCCCCTGTGGCCCAGCTCAAGGACTCCTCCTCCTCTGAGAAGTCCTCCATGAACAGTCTATGTCTCGCCTTCCCTCCTGCTCTCCTCTTGCCTCTGTGTGCCCTGAGTGATGGCCAATACCTGGCTGGACTGACATTCATTCAGACATTTTATTCATTAATTCATTCAACAAACATCTCCTTAGGGCCTACTCTGTGCCTGCCCCTAAGCTGGCCGCTAGAGACCCAGTTACCACTTCCCGACCAGAAACACTTGCGTGATATCCAGTTGCCTCATGATGAGTTTAATGTGTTAAGCTCCATGAACATTATTTTTTTCATCAACTTATTAATTCATCTTTTAAAAAAACAGTCACTGATATACAAATCCTCAAGTCTACAGTGATACTCATCGCTACTCCTTCAAGTCATTACTGGGAACACTGGCTAATTAAGGGAAAGAGTCCTCAATGTCCGTCCCTGTGCTGGACCATGCTGGGGACAGAGCAGTGGATGAAGTCCAGGCCTGCCCCTGACATACACAGAGACCACCCTCGAACAAACAAATAGACCGGAGGATTGAGATAAGGGTCAATGAGTGAGGCCTCTGGTTGGGGACCTATGGGATGGCTGGAGTAGAGTAAGATGGGGAGCAGGGAGATGAGGAGGGGCCAGAGGAAATGATGTAGGTTTTATTCTAAGGGCACTAAGAAATCCTGTGGAGAGGGCTCTCCCCAGATCCCACAAGGAGCGCTCTAGCCCAGTCTACACCTCGCACCCCCCTCCTCCGGGTCCTGCTTCAGGCTTGTATTTTTGTCCTTGTTTATAAAATCTCTGATGTTGGACCCACTCCTGGTGGGCGAGGCCCTGTGCTGAGCATTTAATCAGCACAGTTTCCTTTTCACCTCCCTGGGAGGGTACTCTCCCAAGGCCACTGTGCAGTCAGGCCACCAGCCTAAGGGCTGACCTGGGGCGGGATCCCACACCTGTCTTTCCAGGCCCGCGCCCCTAACCCTGCCTTCCACCGCCTTTTCTCTCACTGTATTTATAGAGCTTGGCTCAGTAAATGTGTGGGCTAACCCATGAAGGATCTCACTGCGGTATTTGCTGCATATCACGATGCTTCTAAGAGACAACCACATTGTTCCCAGTAGCTATGATTCATTCATTTTCGCTGCTGTATGATATTCCACTGATGAATATCACATAATTTATTCATCCACCCCGCTGGATGAATTTCAAAGGTTTGGGTTGTTTCCAATTTGGAGCTATTACTACTCTGAGCTTTCTAGAAAAGTCTGATGGTGTATACTGGCATTAGTGACCCTAGAGCAATTAGCCAGGAGGGCGACAATTGGGATGTATGCAAATATCCAGCCTTATTATAGGATGCCAAACTGGTCTCCAAAATGCTTATCTCAAATCTCCTCCTGCCCTGGTGGAGAAGAAAGAAATGCCCTGCAGCCCTGTCCTCTCCACCTCTTGACACTGTCAGATCGCTCTAGCTTCGTCAGTGCAGCAGGTGTAACTCATTCTGTGATAAGTGTCTGCTGACAAGATCATCTCCCCCACTGGACTGAAGAGGTTACCTAACCCATTCCACAGACGAGAAAACTGATACTTAGAGAGAGGAAGCGACATGCCCAAGCTCACAGAGAACACAGCGGATAAGTGAAGTAATGAGTGAAAGGATGAATGGATGAACAAACGAATGAAGAGAAAAAGGAGTTTGCCAGGCTCACCTCAGGGCTCCACTTCCACTCAGCGTGGGAGGGAGGGAAGCAGGGAAGCTGGAAGGAAGGGGTCCTCGGGGGGCCTGCCAGCCACCCGAAGCTTTGTGCTCACCTGAAGTTCTGGGCACAAGCTGCTTCTCGACGGTAGTCACACTCCCAAGCCAGCTCCTGCTGCAAGGCCTGCAGGCTCTGCTCCGCAAACAGGCCTGAGGGGAGCAGCCGTGTCAGCCAAGGAAGGTCACAGGCTGTCCATCCGCCCAGCCCCTCAGGCTCCACTCACGAATGTCTTCTCTTGCCAATCCTGTCTCTCACTTGTCCCTCACACCTTCTGCTCCAAGCCTTTTACCCCAGTGTCTGTCCACACACCTCCCCTCAGTCCGCTTATAACTGCGGGCTCTTCTGAAGTCTCTCCTGGGGTCTGTCTCTTTCACAGGCATGCACACCAGTCCCGAGGCATCTTTTTCATAGTCACGCATGCCACCTATTCCACCTTTTTTGTACTCTCTCTGAATCTTCTGTCTTTGCCTCTCTCTCTCTCTCTCTCTCTCTCTCTCTCTCTCTCTCACACACACACACACACACACACACACACACACATACACACACACATCCTGCTCCATCTTCTTTAGGCTCTTTAACACAAACATGAGGCCCCACTTACACTCTCTTCCTGCTTCTGTGGCTTTTTCAGACCGACAGTCCCTCTCTGCATACCTTCTGTGTGTCTGTTTCTGGATTCTGGTCTGGGCTTCTGACTCTCAGTGTCTCTGTCAGAATCTCTAAGTCTCCTTTTCTTACACACTTGTACTCTACACTCTCCCTGCCTTGGCATCCCTTCTTCCTGTCTCAAACACACACTCACACCACTCACACACAGGCACACCCTGCCCCAGCTGGTGCTCTCTGGGCTCCCCCTCCATTCAGCCCCACTTCCTCTCGTCAGGGTACCGCTTCTACACGGGCACCTCACCCTCGGGCAGAGCCACGCTCATCTTGAGCACCGCCAGCAGGTTCTGGACATCACTCTGGATGCTCTGGGCAACGCCTGGGTACTGTGAGGGGAGGAGTGGGGGAGGGGAGTCATTCTTCTGGGACAGCAGGGTGCCCACCACCACCTGTCCATCCCCCGCCTCACCTGGATCTTCATGGCCACCTCTGTCCCATCCCTCAGCGTTCCCTGGTGCACCTGTCCAATTGAGGCGGCGGCAAAGGGCACCTCCTCCAAAGAGGCCACCTTGGCCTGCCAGTCCCTTCCGAGCTCCTCTTCGAGAACTCTCTAGGGAGAGCAGTGGTAACAATCATCACCATGATTATAGGCAACTGAGTTCATTCCCTGTGTCAAGCACTTTACAAGTTAACAACTCCAACTCTTACCACATGCCGGGCCCTGGCTCGGCTGCTACCCCACTTTTCAGATGAAGAAATTGAGGCTCAGAGAGAAGTCTCTCAGCCAAGGTGAACCAGGCACTGGCAGACAGGGAGGCCCAGCCCAGCTGGTATTAACTCAAAGTTAATGCGATAGATAAGAGTTAAAATTTAAGGGCTTCCTGTGGGCTGGGTACTGTTCAGAGTGGCTCAGAGAGCAGCAATAATTGCCCAGGGTCACATGGTGAGTGAGCAGAACGAAGATCAGAAGACAGGTGGCTGGATTCTGGATTCCATACCCTTACAGAGTAATTGGAAGAAACAGCTCCTGTCTTGGGCACTGAGTGCCAGGTGCTATGCCTACCGATTGACAGACACACTCTCCTCTAATTTAAAAAACCAGTTAATAATAACAGCTAAAACTTGCATGTCACTCATGCAAACCCTTCTAAGTGCTTTCTGTATACTAATTTATGTAACACTGTGATGTGGGGCGGCTATCACTATCGCCATTTCACAGATGAGGACACTAAGGCACAGAGAGGTCAGGCCGCAGGTCTGAGATCACACAGGTAGGAAGTGGCAGAGCTAGGGTTTGAATTCAAGAAGCCTTACCCCTAACCACTGTGCTCACTGCCACTTTAACAGCTCACTGAGCCTTCCAGGGACTGGACTAAGTGCTCTGTACCACCCTTATTTAATCATCACAACAATCCTATGAGGAGTGTGCTTTGGCGATCCATTTTACAGATGGGGAAACCGAGGCCCAGAGTTTGACAGGGAATAGAGCAGTAAAGCCAGGAGAGGCAGGCAGGTGGAGCCCACCTCCCTGGTCAGCCTTCTTCCACTGGGCACTCACCAGCATCTGCCAGCGGGGCATGAAGTCAGCACTCTGGCGGACCCGCTCAAAGATGCGCTGAAGCTGGGGGCTGATGAAGCTGTTGTCTTGGGAGACAGGGAGACAAGAAATAAGGGAAGCAGTGAGGGAGGAGGCGAGGGGGGCCCCTGTGGGAGTACCTGAAGTCCGGGCTTGTTGGTGAGGGGGTAGAGTAGAAGTGAGATCAGGGGTCAAGGGTCATGTTGTACCCTGGATGCTGAGCATTTGGCCAATCTTGAGGGCGGCCCCCCGAACTGTACACAAGGTCTGAACAATCCGCTCAGCATTTGCCTCCGACAAGAAAGGGCTGGAGCCAGGCTGGGAGCTGCCCTCTGGGTAGAGAGAATGATTATTAGTGTCACAACCATAAAAATAATTAGTATAACACCACTACACGCCCACCAAAATGTCTAAAATGAAAAAGACATTATCAAGTGTTGGCAACGATGTGGAGCAGCCTGACCGCCAGCCCTGCTGATGACCGTGCCGCGGCACAAGCCCATGGGAAACATGGGGAGGTTCTAGTAAAGCACATGCCTGTACTGGATGCCTTTTCTCTCAGAGGGATGCCCACAAGAGATGCATAAATGTGTCCACTGACATATATTCCAAAAGGGGTCATCGCAGCAAAGCTCATAAAAGTCCCAAACGGGAACCATCCCAAATGACCATCAGTACAATGAACAAAGGAATTGTAGAACAGTCAGTGAATGACTACTACAGCAGGAATAAACCATCTACATCCACTCACAGCAAAATGGATGCCTTTCCCATACAGAACGCATGGATTCAAAGAACTAGACGCCTACGAGAATACACTCATTACATTGGTGTAAAGAGCAAAAAACTGGCAAAAGTAATCTTGGGGTTAGAAGCCAAAACAGTGGTTACCCTTTGTGGGGGGAAGTGCCCAGGGTGGGGCTCTGGAGAAGGTATTTTCAAAGCATGGTCAGGGGATCGCTGAGGATCCTCGAGATCTGTCAGAGGTCTGTGAGATCAAAAATGTTATCATAATAATATTAATGTTATTTGCCCCTTTTTACTCTTGTTCTCCCACAAATGTTCTGTGGAGTATTCCAGAAGCTCCATGACCCATGATGATACCACTGCTCTGATGGCTGATGAAATGTGTGTGTTCTTGTGTTTTAAAATGTCTCAGTGTTAATCTCTAATACAGTGAGCCCTAGCCAGTGTGTAGAGCATCGTACCCTGCACTCAAAGGTCACTGGTTTAATTCCTGGTCAGGTAGTGGGTCTGGTCCCCAGTAGGGGTGCATGTGGGAGGCAACCAATTGATGTTGATATTTCTCTCACATTGATGTTTCTCTCTCTCCCTCCCCCTTCCTCTTTCTCTCTCTAAAATCAATAAAAACACATTTTTTAAAAATCCCTAATACAATGAATATCCATAAATATAACCCGCATAAACAAGCTCTTTGGGGTCCTCATTCTATTTTTTATTGACTTTATTGAGGTGACATTGGTTAATAAAATTATATAGGTTTCAGGGATACAATTCTATAATACATCATCTATATATTGTATTGTGTGTTCACCACCCCAAGTCAATCCTCATTCTATTTTTAAACAGCTTTATTGAGAGATAATTATCATACCATATAATTCACCCATTTAAGGTATGTAATTCAATGGCTTTTAGTATATCGAGAGTTGTGCAACTATCACTACAACCAATTCCAGAACATTTTCATTCCCCAAAAAGAGACCCCTTCCCTATTATTAGCAGTCATGCCCCAATCCTGGAAATCACTAATCTACTTTCTGTCTCCACAGATTTCCCTATTCTGGGCATTTCATGTAAATGGAATCATACAATAAGTGGACTTTGTGTCTGGCTTCTTTCACTTAGGATACTGTTTCCACACTGTAGCAGGTATCAGCACTTCATTCCTTTTTAATGGCGGAATAATATCCCATTGTATGGATATACCACATCTTTTATTTTTTTTTTATTTCAGAGAGGAAGGGAGGGGGAGAGAGAGACAGAAACATCAATGGGAGAGAATCATTGATTGGCTGCCTCTTGCACGCTACCTACTGGGGATGGAGCCCACAACCCAGGCATGTGCCCCTGACCGGAATTGAATCCCTTCAGTCTGCAGGCCGATGCTCTATCCACTGAGCCAAACTGGCCAGGATGATATACCACATTTTTAAAAATCCATTTCTTAGTTTTAAGGGTATATAGGGATCCTGAGACCAAAAAGCTTGAGAAATGCTGTTCTAGGGTTTATTATTATTATTACTATTATTGTTGTTGTTGTTGTTGTTAATCCTCACCCGAGGATATTTTTTCCATTGATTTTTAGAGAGAATAGAAGGAGGGAGGGATGGGGGAAGGAGAGAAAAACAACCATGTGAGAGACACATGTATTGGCTGCCTCCCACACTGTGACCTTTCGTTGCTCAGACCAACATTCTACCCACTGCACCATACTGGCCAGGGCTCTTTTGAAAAAAAAAAATCCATTCCTTAGTTTTAAGGGTGTACTAGTATAGGGGTTCTGAGACCAAAAAGCTTAAGAAATGCTGTTGAATCTGCTGCCTCCTGCGCACCCCCTATTGGGGATCAAGCCTGCAACCCTAGGATGTGCCCTGACTGGGAATCGAATCAATGACCGCTTGGTGCATGGGATGATAGTCAATCAACTGAGCCACACTGGCTGGGCATGTTCTAGGGTTTCTTGATCTGGGTGCATAAATGTGTCCACTTTGTGAAAAATGAACCAAGCTGTACATTTGTGATGTGTAGGCAGGTTTACATGCAAATTATATTATTATTCAATAAAGTGCCAATATGCTTTTATTTATTAAAAAATTATTGAGCTCGTCCTGGCGAGCTCATCATTGATGTTTCTATCCCTATCTCCCCCTTCCTTCTTCTCTCTCCGAAATTAATAAAAACATATTTTAAAAAATTATTGAGCTCTTTATTGAGGGCTCACCCTGTGCCAGGCAGAATTCTAAGTGTCTCTCTGGATTCTCTGGCAGAATCCCTACAATCACCCCAGGAAGTAAAAACTACCAATGTCGCCCTAACCGGTTTGGCTCAGTGGATAGAGCGTCAGCCTGTGGACTGAGGGGTCCCAGGTTCGATTCCGGTCGAGGGCATGTGCCATGGTTGCAGGCACATCCCCAGTGGGGGGTGTGCAGGAGGCGGCTGATCGATGTTTCTGGCTCTCTATCCCTCTCCCTTCCTCTCTGTAAAAAATCAATAAAATATATATTTTTTTAAAAAACTACCAATGTCTTAATTTTCAAGGCAAGGAAACAAGAGATTCAGAGAAGTACACTGCCCAGCCCTGGGTCACACAGCACAGAAGTGGCAGGGCAGGGTATAGACTCAGTTTGGCCTTACCCTAAAGCCTAATCCTCCACCTATTTCCAACTTTTTATTAAAAAAAAAAAAATTCAAGCAGACAAAAAAGTTGCATCATGAACACCTGCACACCTGATTCAAACATTTTAATATTCTGCCTCCTCTGCTTTATCTCTGTGTGTGTACCCAAACACTTACTATTATTTTTTGCTGACCCATTTGCATGGAGCTGCACTCAACCTGTGCTAAAAATAAGGAAATTCCCCTATACAATCACAGTGCCATAATCACCCTTAAGAAAATTAACCCTAATTCTCTAATATTTACTATCCAATCCATATTCAGATTTTCCTAATTGTCCCCAGAATTCTTTTCAGTCCTCTTTTCCTTTTAATTTTGTGATGTTCAATTACAGTTGACATTCATTATATTAGTTTCAGGTGCACAGTTTAGTGGTTAGACATTTATATGCCTTATGAAGTGATCAGCCCGTAAGGCTAGTACCTGCCTATTATACATAGTTGTAACAATATTATTGACTATATTCCCAATGCTGTACTTTATATCCACACGATTTAGTTATTTTTTTCCAACTAACATCCAAGTATGGTCCACACATTCCATCTGTCAGTTATCTCTAGTCTCTTTTTATTTTTTTAAATTTTTTTAAAAAATATATTTTATTGATTTTTTACAGAGAGGAAGGGAGAGAGATAGAGAGTTAGAAACATCGATCAGCTGCCTCCTGCACATCTCCTACTGGGGATGTGCCCACAACCCAGGTACATGCCCTTGACCGGAATCGAACCTGGGACCTTTCAGTCTGCAGGCCGACGCTCTATCCACTGAGCCAAACCGCTTTCGGCTAGTCTCTTTTTAATCTAGAATATCCACCCCCATTTTTGTTTCGGCCATCGACTTGTTGAGGAATCTTACCGACAGAAGCTGATCTCTACACATCTTGTTCCATCTCTGTTGGACACAGACTCCCACTAGCAGGCCTAATTTCAGCCTTCTCCTGCGCAGGGTTAAGAACTCAGCTCTGGATGGCTTACATTTTTTTTTCTCTCATGATCTGTTTCAATCCATCAGGACCCTGACAGTGGCTCCACCCTGTTCTGAGCACTTTACAGGGACCCTGGGAAGTGGGTATATTATCATCACCTCCATTGTCCACCTGAGGAAACAGGCTCCGAGAGGTGAAGCCTCTTGTCCCCGGTCACACAGCCAGGACAGGGCCCGACCCAGGCAGTGTGGCTAACTCACCTGACTGTAGATATCCTCCTGGCAGGGACTTCTTGACCATCTCAGCCAGCGCTCCCAGCCCCAAGCCCACAGCCAGTCCTGAGGAGTGAGAGAAGAGCCTGAATGCCCTCTTGCCTGGGGCATTCTCCCCACCCTCTCTCCTCTGTCTCTCTAAGCACACTTGTCCCCCAGCTCTTTGTACCCAACTCTCTGTCTTTAGCTCAGTCACTTACTCTCTCTGCTTGGGTTTCCCTTCAAGGCGAGGCCAGCTCTTTCTCTATTCCTCTCTATAGGTCTGTCCCGTGTCAGCAGTTTTCACCCCTCGCTGCACATTTGAGTCGAGTAAGGAGCTTTTGTAAATACAATGCCCAGGTCCCACCCCTGAGGCTCTGACTAAACTGGCCCGAGATGAGGCCTCAGAATTTATCTTTTTATTAAGCATCCCAGATGATTCTAGTGTACAGCCAAGGGCAAGAAGACTCCAAAAGGGTCCCCCCAAGTCTCTCTGCGACTTCCTATGATTCCTGTTTCTCTGTCCACACCTCTTCTTCATGTTCGCCTTTCCTAAGTCAGCCATTTCTTCATCTTCCCCCTCCCCTACACTTGACATATCTATCTAAGCCTCTTTCTCTCTGTTCCTCCTTTTGATGTTCTGGACAACTGATTTCCTCTGTGTCCTCTTGTCTCCTTGTCCCTAAAGATAGCTTGAGCCTCTCTGCCTCTTTCACTATCACCATCTCTGTAAATAACCAAAGCTGGCATTTTCTGAGCACTCTCTTCATGCCAGGAACCATTCCTAGTGGGTTATATGCTTTAATGCATTCTGTCCCCACACCCTCATGTAATAAGTTTTATAGGAAAAACTTCCATTTTACAGAAAAGGAAACTGAGGCTCAGAGAAGTTAAGTAACTCATCCAAAATCACAAAGTGAGGATATAGCAGAATCACCCCTTGAACCCTGAGGCAGCACAGTGTCAAAGCTCAACTTCCTCTTTATACTGTGAATTGTTGTCTTTAAAGCTTGAACCAGGAGGAAGGTATTTGCATTATAACCGGTAGGTACCAATATACCTATAATGCTTCATGAAAAAATATTTTTCCATTACTCTACAGGTGAACTGGTATTTTCCATTCTATCCTTTTTAACTGTTTCATGCAGATTGTGACCTGAAGTTTGAACAATTCTGCTGCTAACCTTAGGTCAAGTCACTTCACCTCTTTTAGCCTCCATGTCCTCATCTATAGAATGGAAATACACAGTCATCAACTCGGTGCAGGTATCACATGTATGGGGCCTTGCACCGAGTTCTCAATAAATATTACCTTCCCTTCTATTTCTCTTGGTTTTGCAGGCCTTTACTTTCATTCTCTTTTCATCTCTCCCTCTTCTCTGTCTCTGATTCGCCCTCTCCCTTACTTAATTCTGTAAATGTTGCTTCCTCTGACCTAAGTCACAGTCTCCCACAGTCACACCTACCCCCAAAGTTAGCCAAGCGGCTGATGCGGGAGGCAGGCACCTTGCGTTCTCGAGAGCGGTCACTCAGCTGGAAAATGGGGAGAAGGTCTGAGGGTGGGAAGGTGGGTACAGTGCCCAGGAAGTCCAAACAACCTGCCACCACACTATTCCCCAAGCTCGGGGGGCCAGCTGCCTTAATGGGGTGTTGTTGGTAAGGTGGGAGGCCATGATACCTGGGGCCGAGGTGTCTTCCTGAGCCGGGCCTCCCGGGCCTTGCAAATGTCCTCCTCACTCAGGCCTCGGCCAGACCCACCCTGATGAAGCTTTTGGGCCCAAGAACCCTTACATGGCCCCTGCAAGAGATGTGGACATTGGTAAGGAGTGGAAGACAAGGAGCAGAGGGGTCTGCCTGGCCCTCTGGATTCCTCCCTATCCCGTTACTTACTGCCCATTCCCTCGGGCTCTTCACTTTGGAGACCCCTCCCCAGTATCTTACCCACCAGCGGGGCCCAGGCCCCAGGGCCCCATAAGGCAGACCAACAGTCCGGCCCAGCTGTCCACAGGTCCCCCGCAGGAGGCCCCCCACCTCCAGCCACATCGCCTGGGGGAGAAGAGGAGGAATTACTCGGGCAGGAGTTGTGGGGCCGACCTCCCGCTTCGCTCCACCCACCCCAAGCCCCACAGTCCTCGTGTCGGCCCTGACTCCCACCCAGCAGACTTCCTCCCTGATAAGGGCCCCTCCAGTTTCTCCTGGTTCCCTCTGGTTGCTAGGCACCCATAGCTGTTCCTGCTTTCCTACCAAAGCTCACTTTCCCTGTCCCACTTCGCCGCCGTTGCTAGGGTCCGCTCTCATTGCTAGACACCCACAGATCCTCCAGGCTACCTCTCCCTTCTCTGAGGCCCCCTCGTCGCCAGGCACCGCCTTCACCTCTGTTGCTAGGCACCCACAATCCTCCCCCACCCCCCAAGTACCCACTACCCCGTTACTGGGCACCTCCCCCTGTTGCTAAGCACCCACAGCTCGGGGATCCGGGTCCGTAATGCGCGGGGGCCCCTAGCACTTCCGGAAGCCTCCACACGCCCGCCCTCTCCGGTCAGCTAACCAATGGCGGAGCAGCAGTTCGCTGACTGGCACAAAGAACTCCTCGCTTTGCGTAGGGGCGGGGCCGGGGCGGAGCCGTTGGGGAGGTTGGGGGATTGCGCGTGGCCAAGCCGGGAGCACACACGTGCGCTTTTCAAAGTGCCCGGTGTGCGGCGGACCTTTCTGTTCCGTACCCCGTCTTCTTTGCAAACATCCCTCTCCCTAACAAACTTCACACCTCTCCTCTGCACGAACACCTTGCGAATCTCATTTCTACCTCCAGCATGTTCAACATCTCTCCTTTGAACACACGTCTTCCCCGCAAACATTTTCCATGTACGTGGAGCCCATCCACTTTGCACACCCACCCTCTGCTTCAAGCATTCACATCCTGGCACCCAGCCTCCTCCTTTGCACATATAAACCCCCTTCTTTACTTGGCAATTGTCTCCCTCAGCTCTCACCCCTGTTCATAAACCCCTCACACTCAGCTCCCTGCACACTGGCCCGTTTCCTCATATTCCCTGCTCTCCCTGCTCCCCGCCCACCTGCAGGATGGCCTGAGTGAGCCCCCTGTTTCCCGTAGGCCTGACATTTCCCAGAACGCACTCAGCCCAAATTCCCAGTGCTGAGTCAGGAGACTTGGCATTCCAGAAAACCAGCTCCCATCCCATCTGGGTGTGTGTCTTGGGTGGGGGTGTGTAGGCCGGCTTAAAGCCTGCTCCCCCCACAACAGGCTGACTCACCCCTCTTCTCACAGTCTGGAATAGAAGCAGCTGGCTGGGTCCTCTCTTCCGCTGCTGGGAGGACATATGACGCTTCCCCACAGAACCCTTGCCCCTGTCTAACCCTTTTGTCGGGAATCAGATATTCCTGTCTGTCCCTGTGCTCTGTGACCTCAGAAGAGCCTTGACCCTTTCTGGACTTCGTTCCCAGCCTGTATGATGTGTGAGGGGGTCTCTGCGATGACTTGTCATTGGTCCCTGAAGAGATGACTCATTTTAGATTCCTGGGCCTGGGCCCAATGCCCCTCCCACAGGTGACTCAATTTCAAGACAAACCATCTCCTGCCCCCTCCAGACATAAGGGTCTGACTCAGGAGCTGGGTGACAGTTCACTCTTGAAGGGAAAAATATATAAAAGTACCTATGACAATAACTAATTCACATGGCTTATATGCACGAGGTCATATAAACAAAGGCTAGGGGGTAGCAGATCTCTGAACCTCAGGGTCCCCATCTGTAAAATGGGGCTGTGTCAGCACCTCTTGCTCAGTGTTAGTGAGAGAGAGAGAGATGCAGTGAAATAGTGTCCATAAAGAGCAGAGGGCCCTGCCCTGGCCAGCGTGGCTCAGTTGGTTGAGCGCCATTCAAATGACCAAAAGGTCACTGGTTCTATTTGGTCAGGGTACATGTTCAGGTTTTGGTCTCAATCCCCCATTAGGGGGTGCACAGGAGGCAGCTTATCCATGTTTCTCTCTCTCTCCCTTTCTCCTCCTCTCTTTCTAAAATCAATAAAAACAGCCCTAGCTGGTTTGGTCCAGTGGATAGAGCGTTGGCTTGTGGACCAAAGGGTCCCGGGTTTGATTCCAGTCAAGGGCACGTACCTCCCTGGCCAGGGCCCTGGTTGGGGCTTGTGCAGGAGGCAATCGATGTGTCTCTCTCACATCGATATTTCTCTCTGTCTTTCCCTCTCTCTAAAAATCAATGGAAAAATATGAGTGAGGATTAAAATCAATAAAAACATATTTAAACGAGAGAGAGAGAGAGAGAGAGAGAGAGAGAGAAATGGTCTGGTACAGAATGAGAATCTATAAACAAGAGAAATTTCTTATGGAGAAATTATTTTCAAATTTCTATTAAGCACCTATATGTGCTTTTCTAGGCACTGGGGACATAGCAAGGAACAAAACAAGCAAAAATCTTTGTCCTCTTGGTCCTGGCTTCTGGCAAGGGGCACAATCCTATTCTATATAATAAAAGCCCAGAATGACCTGTCAACCAGTCGCTATGATGTGCACTGACCAACAGGGGGCAGACGCTCAATGCAGGAGCTGCCCCCTGGTGGTCAGTGCTCTCTCATAGCTTGGCTGAGCGGGATCAGGAGTGTTCCCACAGTGGGTGGATCCCCCCCCCCCCCCCCCCCCCCAGTGCACAATCCCCTGCACCGGGCCTCTAGTAAACAAATAAGTACAGACATACCTTGTTTTATTGTGCTTTGCTTTATTGTTCATTGATGATATTGCGTTTTTTCTTTTCTTTTTTATATTTTTATTGATTTTATAGAAAGAGGAAGGAAGATGGAGAGAGAGAGAAACATCAACTGGCTGTCTCCTGCATGCCCCCTACTGGGGATCAAGCCTACAACCCCAGGCATGCACTCTGACTGGGAAATCGGACCAGCAATCTCTTGATGAACAGGATGTTGTCCAACCAATTGAGCCATACCATTCAGGGCAATAAAGTATTTTTTAATTAGGGTATGTACATTGTTTTTTTTAAGCATAATGCTATCGTACACTTAATAGACTACAATATACTGTAAACATAACTTTTACATGCATTGGGAAACCAAAAAATTCCTTGACTTACTTTATTGCCATATTCACTTCATTGTGGTGGTCTGGAATCAAACCTACAATATCTCTGTGGTATGCCTGTATGCTTAATAAGGTGACATGTGTTAAAGAGAAAAATAAACCTGAGAAGGGGGTCAAGAAGAGGAAGGAGGAATGTAAGATTAAATAGGATGTTCAGAGAAGGCCTCGCTGAGGGGGTGACATTGAAACGAAGACTTGAAGGAGGTGAGGGAGGGAACTGTTCCCGAGGGAAGGGTGTTCCAGGCAGAAGGATCAACCAGTGCAAAAGCCCTGTGGTGGAAGATGTCTCGGAGAAATAGCGAAGGCCAACAGGCAGATTAAGGGAAAAGAGAGGAGATTTGGTTTGGGAGATAACTGGAGCCAGATCATGTACAATATATGAGTCATGAGGAGGACTGTGGCTTTAACCCTGAGTGTGATGGGAAGCATGGAATGTTCTGAACAGAGAAGGGTTATGATCTGATTTAGAGAAAATACTCTTACTTCCAGCTCCTCCTCCAACGCCCCAGCCTCAAAAGCAAGTTATATTACCCAGTAGGGAACAAAAGCTCAGACTTTGGATTAGGTTGGCCTAGGTTCGAATATACACAATTTAGATATGTGATCTTGGATTTTGCCTTTCTGTGCCTCTGTTTCCCTGACCATGGATGATGGTAATCCCTACCTCAAAAGGTATGGGATATAAAGTGGTAAGTACAGTGTATGGCACAAAGCAAGTACACAAATGTATATGTTGCTGTAAATAAATAAAAATTCCCATAACCCGGTGAGGAAATTATCATTGCTATCCCCTTTTTACAGATGAGGAAACTGAGGCTCAGAGGAAACAAGTCTGTTGGAGCCAGGATTTGGCTCGATCTCCTAGCTTCAGAGTTAAGGTCGTTGCTTTGTCCCTCCTCTAATCTCCCTTTGACCTTAGACAAATTCTTTCACTATTCTGGGCCTCAATTTCCCTGTTGGTAAAGTGCTTGGCTTTTGTGGCATTGAACACATTTTTCGAAACAATCAAATAATATTATGTATCCTCATTTTACAGGTGACAAAACGAGCCCGGGTAGGGAGCGTAAGTCACTCGTTCAAGGTAACACAGCTGGGAATTGGCAGAGGTGGGTCTCGAACTCACACCTCCCTGGGATCCCCAAGTCTCTGGAACGCAGGCCCTGCGTGCGTGAAGGAGCACGCTGCTGGACTCGTCCCCGAGAGCTATCGGCGGCTTAACTGGCCACTTAAAGTGTAGGGGGGTTAGATTAGTCGCGGGGTCCTAGGGAGGGGCCCCACTGCCCTGCAAGCAGGACCTCAGGGGGCCTACACTTTACCGGGACGAGCTCGCGGCGCTGGGAATCCACCCCTTCAGGGGAGGAGGGCGGGGACAGACGAGGCCCCGCCCCCCTACGCCACGTCCGGTGGGCGGGGCCGCGGGCTTCCCCGGAGGCGGAGTATCGGTTAACCACTGTGTGGACTGGAGATCCGCGGGCCGGAACCGCGA